GCTTTTTACAAGGGTATAAACTAAACCAAATGAACAATTTTTTTCATATTTTGTGATATTTCTCAGTAAAACATTAGTTGCAGCACCTGGAAAAACTATTCAGAACCCCCGAAATACAAAAATAACAACCATCTGGAGCTAACCCTGGCAATAGTAGCATAAAACCCAAAAAAAATAATTCCAAAAAAATAAAAAAGTGCCAATATCTCGAAAACCAAGACTTTTATTAAAGTCAAATTATTTTTTTCTGGTTGGTATAGAGCTCACCTACCGTGTCGCTCTGTCGTGATAGTTTTGGGACACCCTGTATATAATGTTGTTCTATAGACAAAACTGTGAAACCTGTGTAATGTATGATTTTGGTCATATAGCGGAATTTTAAAAAATACCGGTACAGCTTTCAACCTCCCTATTAACAACGCAACTAATTCCAGAATAAGGTCCATATTTCACTTGTTAATCTAAGTACTAACATAGCATAATGAGTGTTTTTAAAAAAAAATAAAAATAAAAAATCTTGCTCCAGGCACGAGCCAGAACGGAGCTGAGAGAAGAAGCAACAGTCCAAGACGCCAATGACGTCATAAGCCTCGTGAAACATAGCTTGATGGACACTTTCAGTGACGAATTTGGAAACATTCAGCTGTCACGTTCAATTAATGGTTCAGGAGTTAGTTCCAGAAATAAAGTATGTTTTGTTTGGATGAATATTTATTAATTCATGTTTTTTCCACAAAGATTTATTTACAAAATTAACTTATAAAATATAAATTTGAAACTCAAAAATTTTTACTTTGTTGCTATTTGTTGTCCCTTCTAAGCAATAGAGACCAATATCTCTTAAATCTTATATACATAATTTTAATTGTACTATGAATAAGGCATTTAAGAATGTATATTAAAAATAGTGTAGTTGATAAGAAAATAATATCAAGATAAATTACCATTCAAAATAAAGGTAGTAGAAACAAATGTTAAATTCGTCAAAAAAAAGTTACTCAAGTCTAGTTACATTAAACTAAAAAACGGTAATAATTGTTTGTGACGTGACAACTTTAATTATCTGTTAGATATATAGCTCGTAAGATGTCCTTTTGATTGATTTCCCAAAAAGGGACCGAACATCAACACACCATTTACATTAAGTTTTATTCTTATTACTCATCTGAAAGGAGACTCTTGCCCAGTGGGTTGATGATGATGATGATATTAATTAGTGTATAAAAACGGATAAGGGATTAATTTTCATGATCATGTGAATTGAATTAAGGAACAAAGTACTAAAACATTTATTTTTTTGTGTTTCAGTTGAAGAAGTTCCTAGAAGCATTAACAAGGAGATCACATCAATTAGGTAAAGATATCTTTACACGCCAAGAGTTGATTCAAATACACAAGGCGGCTGCAGTTGCGGGCGACCCCAATGATCTCATAGAAGCAATGCATTTACACTCTTATTTACTCCTCAAAGGATCTAACACATACCAGTTGATAGCTCTATAAGATACTTATTTTTATTACCCGAATACATTTTTTATGTTTCAATTTCTTTGTTCTTTTTCCATTTTTTATGTTTGTTGAATGAATTGTATTTCTATGAACTAACAATTTACATTCATAGAATGTCTGTATAGTTGTACTTCCATGTTAAAAGCTTGAAATAAATAACTTAAAAGCATTTAGAAATTGCGTTTTGGTACACATTGACATTGGTCAATGTTGGTATGGATAATAATTTCATTCAATTTTCTTTGAATTACTCTCTGTTTTAATGACGTTTGTTTTAACAGTATTTGTTTCGCTTCTTTCACGTCTTACAGTAATTTTTTTCACATCTGTTCTTGATGGTACATCCTGCAACGCCATTGAAACTTGGCAACAACAGTACATTGGCAAGCAAATCACAAAAATGCCGTATATTTTTGGCCTAACGAAACACTGAAAGTAAAGATCTCCTACATCCATACCGCCAAATAAATAAAAATTTGAAACAGCTGACAAAATCAAAAGTGGAGTACACATCATAGCTTTAAACCTTGTCTCCATAGCGTCACTTTTTAAATACTTGATCACAAACCGCTTGTACTTTTCAGTCTCAGTAATATTTTTACCTAAAGTTTCTAGTATTATGCCTAAGAAATTTAAAAAAGACCATACAAATATCTGTTTTGTTGTCCCATGCCAAATGAATATAAAAATAAATGTAAATAATGATGAGATCATTTTAATCGCAAGCTTAGGTAGTCTAGGGTATATGGAGAGAGTCAGATACAATGGTTTGTAGATGTACCTGCAGAAAAAAAAATAGTATACTTACAGATGGCCATTTGTACTTCTGCTAGCTCATATATAATATAATATCATTGATTAAAAACATTCACATAATTGAACTCATGAAATAGTGGAATCCCTATTAAAAGTCAAATGCCTAAATGAACACTTACTTTACTAAAAACTGGTAAAGACCAACGTCGAAATATCTCCACATGTGGGAATAAACATGTATTCTGGCAATACATCTTGGTGTTGGAGGGGAATCAATGTTGTCCAATTTAGCTAAGGCTCCACACATTCCATATGCAATCACATACTTAACATGAAATTGGATTCCCATCCATAAACCTCCTCCACCCAAGGCGAGTACTGAAAAGGTTCTTAGTAACTGAAAATTTAAAAATTACATAGTATAGCAGAAGACATTATCATGATAGGCAAGTTGTAAATCAATGTGATAGGCCATTAAAGTATGTATTATAAAAGTTTATATTGAAACTGTTAAAATGAATACTGACCTCAATTCTTTCTTTGAGCGCATGGAAATGTATAAAATGCAAGGCAAGTTCCATACCAAAAAAATATAAAAGGAACAGAGATATGTCACAAACAAATCTCTTTATTCTGTCCAATAGTGGCTCGGCAGGAGAACTAAAACTTCTCTCAAAATCTTTATACAATATCACTGGTCCCAAGTAGAGTACTGGCAAATACATAACGTAACTCAGCATATTAAGAAAGGTCTGAGACTTAGATATATTTTTTGAGTCTTTATTATCAATGTAGTCAATGGAGAAACTTATGCATCGCAATAAAATCCATGCAATGCATCCCATTAACAGATAAATTTGCTCATCTTGTAAATCTTCACGGTCTACTAGGTACCAGAATAAATATTTAAACTTCAATGTATTGAAACTCCCAAGAAGCAAAATGCCAGTTATCCATAAAATAGCTTTTTTGCCACCACAAAATATTATAGTGGAACAAAGTATGGGCTGAAGAAAAATAAATAGCAGATGCTTCAAACACATATACAATGACACATATATTATACTTGATATTATATACCAAGGTTTTAGAAGAGAACTTTTATATCTTCTTATTAATTCTGTGACCACAAATTGAATAAACATATACGACCAGGATGTGTGGAAATAGTATGTGAAGCACATCCATTCTGTGTCTGACACATCTTTCAGCCTGTTCAGAAATCTCCAGCCTGGCTGCAAGTCTTTCAGGTAAGGAATGTACTTGCTGTTGGCATTGACAATATCTGAAAAGCAAAAATCATTAAATTAATTATTTTTATTGACCACTTGCAAAATTGTTTCAAAAGTTTGAAATAAATATATATTTTTTTATTATAAAAATATAAGTGCATATGTGACCTCCATCTAACTTGATGGAAAGAGATTATGAGGTCAATGATGGAGCATGCACACCTAAATAATGCTTATTCACTCTCGCCTTGAAAAGGCGTTAACTTGTGTTACAGCATTCAGGGATAAGCATGCAAGCAGGAAATTTCACTCTATAGCCATTCGCTATATAAATTTGAAATTGATATTTATAACATAGGGGTGCAAACAAACCCTAGTTCCCAGGCGATGGAAAGGGGAAGGCAGTATTAAATCTTGCAATTCCTTCGCACTCTCTGTGATGTTATCCTGTAGAATACCGAAACTGCCCTCGTAACGAAAAAAGGCACAATTATGCGTACTTTATACAGCTGCGTGTCTTTTTTCGTTCTGAGGGCAGCATAAACAGGTAACTTTACGGAGGGGTTCAAGGTGTATTAATAACGACTTTTAAAAAAATTTAAAAGGCTTGGGGTTTTGAGGGAACCCTAATTACAAAATTGTTGCAAATTACGACTCGTCAGACAACTAGATTCACTTGTACAAAATTAAACAGGTAGGTATGGTAAAAGTAATGTCAAACTACCACGATTAATCATGCGCCATGCTTTTATTGGTATATTATCTCACATTATTAATAACTATACAAGGAAAAAAACAGTTTGAAATTCTTACTTGTTTGTTCAGTATATAAAAGCGACAAAGAAAACAAATTTCCCATTATCCAACCGAAGAAGTACAGCGAAAGCTCGAATGAATTTATTGCAGTCTTCATTTTCTATTGTTTGTTACTAAATAAAATCACTGTAATTTGAATAATTTCAATGGAAATTTCAAACAAAGCGGGCCGGCATAGTAAATATGATTTTATAACGAATGAATGAAAGCTGTCATGTCAGTGTCAAACTCAAGCATAGAATAGAGCTGAACTCAAGAGCTAGAAATCGTAAACCATTTCGTGATATTCAAGGAAATTAATGTTAAATCGAATAAGCACTGAAAAAGTCAAAGAACAAAGTTAAAGCATTATTTCACTTTAGTTGAAATATAACTAAGTACCTACTTAGTACCTATACTAACGGTATACGTACGGTATTCTTAGTGAAAATTTGTGTTATGATACTTTTTTCGTAATGCTAAAACTAACCGATTGCTAAATGTGCATTTACTACTGTTATACCGCCATACCATTGCCAATTAGGAAATCGTATTTAATGACCCAAAATTGAATCGAAAATCAATTTTTTCCGTGCAGAAGTTTAATTTAAACCACTAAGAACATATGGACTAATTAATAAACTCATATAAACTTATGTTACTTTTGTTTATTTATGCCAATAGACCTCTCCTCAACGTCATACACCAATGAAACCCCGCTTGTTCTTTCATTTTTATTTAAGTCTAATATTCTTTACAATCACATGTTGTAATATAAACTAGTATAGTTATTATATTCTATAATATATAACATTACAGAAGGTGATAAAAATCCAAAAATCGAGATAACAAACGAATTTAGCTAAAGAATTGTATTATAAATTATAATCATTGACCTACCAAAGATCAATGGTTATAATTGATTAATTTTATATCCCCGTGCAAATATCCGATGGAGAACCGTAGGTACAAGTGTGTGAGGGTTAAAATTACTTTTCGCGACTTTTTACGTGCTGAAATATGGTCATGATATCGTTGATCCTACCCGTTTTGTTATACCTTAACATATAACGTGATAATCTGTTTAGGGATAACAGAAATAGAAACAAATATAATAAGCAAAAGTTGAGCACTTCCTTAAAACGTAAGTTAAACATTTATCCCAAGACTGAGATGAAAAATAAGTGACTATTGCTATTGTCAAGAAGTAATAAGACAAATCTTGTTGAATAGTTTTCGTTTCGTTAATTAAGCACTTATACCTACTACTTATAATATGTAGACTTTGACTTTGATGTATTATAATGACCTTGCTCTCGTACGTATTACTTGATATCTCAAAATGTTCATAAAATGGGCATTGTAGGTACGGTACATGAGCTATTATAAATCTATTCTAAAAAACATGAAATGAAATATTATTTTGCAAGCAACCAGACGAAACATGACGTAACAAACACTAGACACTTTCCTTCTATAGCACAAAATACGACGTGGCCGTGTTCGATCACGTCTTGCTCTATAGTGCCAAATACGCTACATTAAATTGAGCACACGAGGTGTCGAGATCATTCGTTTCCACAAGGGAGTACAGTACGCTGCTGTAGTCAACGAAGCTAGTCAAATCAGCTCTGTTATATTTAATATAAGTGTATGATGTTTTGAAATTTATCAACAATTATTTGTTTAAGAATATTAATACGATGTTTGTGTATAAAATTTCTGTAATATGTGCGTTATTAACAGTTTCTGAGATTTGTCTGGGTGAGCATATATTTTTCTTTGTTATAAGATAATAAGAGTCAAGGATGTTCACTGCTTTAGACTAGATAATTAATATTCGCTATGTTTAGATAAATAAAACGTTGTGTGTGAACCTTCTTGAATTTGAATTAAATCATATAGGTACAATAGTACCTATTTCAGTTGGTGTTTAAATTTACACAATCACTTTGTGATGAAATTATAAAAGAACCATTTCCACTTTCAGGTAGACAACAAAATTATAGAACAAACACAGATTTTTTGGCACATGAAATTGGCTCAACAGACTCTAAGAGAGATTATGTAGCTCCTAAACGGCCAGATACTCACAGCAATACTCAAACAAACCAACAACAATTTACTTCAGAACATCAATCTTCAACTTTGCGTGCTACAACTACATCGTTTACTCAGTCTAATCTTGGTAACAAACCGCAGCAGCCATCAGGGAAACGAGACTACGTAGCTCCTCTTGTTACACAAAAACCGCAATCAACTTTTTTACCTCATCATTCGAATGCAGGAAAAGTACAAGATTTAATCAATTTTTACGACAACAAAAATAATAATAATAATAATAACAATAATAATCAGAATGTTCATAGCTACAGCGCCGTTCTTCAAGGCAATAACAACCGTGGCGGCACAATATCAAATTTAGCAACTACGAAACCACCCCTCAACCCATCAGTTCAAAATAATCCAAGTAATTCGACACCAAAACCTTTAAGTTTCAGTGCCGTGGTAGCAGGTCCTAATAAACAACCCTCTCCAGCAGTTATTCCTACTAGACCATCAACAAAATCACCTTCTAATTCGCAATCTCAAACAACACGACCAGCTCAAACAACACGACCAGGAACTCCAGTTCTTCCAAGTTCACTATTAAATCAAAATAGAAAAAACAATAATAATAATAATAATAACAATCAGAACAACGCGAACGGTCCAACTGATGCTGAATTACAAACACTTAGTGAAGAATTATTGAGAAAAGACACAAATAACGCAGCGAAATACGTAACTATAAATTACCAAGAAAAAACCACGTCGCAATCTAAAGTCGATAACGCTGCCCTACCGTAAGTAAACCTAACGATGTATTTCTACATTATACATACGTAATGAAGGTTATAATTACACAAAAATCATATTTTTTTAAGTTTTCTATGTTATTTGTCAACCACAATAGTGTTGTTATTTACTTGGTACATTTGATCGACATTATAATTTAATTTATGCCAAATCAGTATGTTTACTAACTTACGCTGTTTCAGACTTCTCACGGTAGCACCTGAAGTATGGAATATTTCAACTATTCAAAAGTTCACACCGTTACTAGATAACTATGTGAGAGATACATTAGTTAACGAATACGTAACGGCAATGGTAAATAATTACTTCCTACGTACATACCATAACACTTGTCTATCACTGGGGTTGGCAGAGACCATAACCTCCACTTGCTACACGTTACTGCTACGCTGTTGACAAACCTCTTTCGTGTCCTTCACTCGCATCAGTCTCTCCATACCAGCCTGTTTGGTCTTAGTATTCTAATCTGGCCTTTTTATGTCCAAAATCTGACCGATTTTCCATCCACATTCGCTCTATATCGCACCGTCAATCTTTTAACATCCATCTTTTGTAAGTACATGACCAAACCAACTAAAGAAATTCACTTTCTATCCTGGCGACTACGTCCTCTTTCGAGTCATAACGCTCTCTTACTACACTGTTTGGCATTTTCTCTTTAAGCCTACGTCATACCGAGCAAAGGTCTTATTTCCACAATATAAAAAGAACTAAATAAAATATTAAAAGAACTTGATAAGATTATTATTATAATTATAGCTGTAACTTTGAGGAAAATTCCCGAATTAAAATTTTAAATCCCCTATTTTATCTTAACTTATAATATTAGAACATTTTAAAAAGGCAATGTTATTTAATTTATACAGTGAAACTTAAGTCCATTATTACGTTACAGGAGAGAACCGAAGAAAATAATTTCATGGACGCCGTAATGTCTACCTCAGTTATTCGGCATTTAATGAATTTCTTGGCGAATAAAGGTAAGTAATTACTAATTAGGAAAACAAATAGTTTCTGTGGTAGAGATTTATTGGCGCGAATAATTACAGATTTTGTTAATTTTTCATTTCAGGTTATGTAACACCCGACCCAAGGCAACAAAAGGAATATTTGAAGCAAATGTGGTTCGGTTTATATTCTAGAGGAAAAGGAAAACTAAGTAGTTCGGGATTTGAACACGTATTTGTCTCTGAACTAAGAAATTCAGAAGTTTTAGGTAAGTATAAAAGTATTCATTTGTAAAACAACAAATACACACTTATGTATTTCTACCATGATTTATTTCTAAAAATTCAGTGCCTCCATTGAAAAACGGAATAAGATGAGATATGCTCTTTTGTTTTTAATGCACCATTGGCTTCAGCGTATCCTATTACGTAACACATCAAAAGGACATCTCTCTAGCTGCCCTCGTAACGAAAAAAGGCACAACTATGCGTACTTTATACAGCAGTTGTGCCTTTTTTCATACCGAGGGCAGAGCAGTCTCCTAACGTCGTTTTTTTTTATTGCAATAACTCACTGTTTCTTAGGCATAATTTTAGTAATCCGGCAAATTTTTTGAGTCTAGTGGTACAAGTGCTCTCAACTCAAAAAATACATGCAAGTTTAATGAATACCTACAGATATATTTTTACATAAAGACACTTTTTGTATTGTTCCATAATGATGGAAACAAGTAGGCTAAAAGTGACTATTGCCTTATTACACAGTGTACTTAAAGGTATAACTGAGAATTCTGTTTGTTCCACTGGACAGGATTGGTTATACCCGCGACTATACCGTGTTGCTACAGTCAGACAAAACTTGTCTTTTTATTCCTTTAACGATTTTATGTATTATCAATGTGCTTAGTATCATAAGTATTGTCATACTCATAGAACAGTCGCATTTAAGGAAATAAATCGAATTATGTGTTACAGTTTGTTATCATAAGTTGGTATAATTATTAATACAAAGATCGAACACTCAGAAAAAATTCCTTCGATCCGGTCGGATTCGAACCGACGTTTTCTTGCATACCGTGCCAGACGCTATACCAACTAAGCCACGGAACGAACCAACGGACCTCACAAATTTTTCTATGTGCTTGGGTCGTGTCTTTTGTACTTGGTCTTTCAACGACTTATGAGAAATATTTAACAGATTTATCTGTTAAAGATTTCTCATAGATGGCGCTACGACTAAAAAGTCGTTCAACGACTTATGAGAAATCTTTAACAGATTTATCTGTTAAAGATTTCTCATAGATGGCGCTACGACTAAAAAGTCGTTGAAAGACCAAGTACAAAAGACACGACGCAAGCACGTAGAAAAATTCGTGAGGTCCGTTGGTTCGTTCCGTGGCTTAGTTGGTATAGCGTCTGGCACGGTATGCAAGAAGACGTCGGTTCGAATCCGACCGGATCGAAGGAATTTGTTCTGAGTGTTATTTCTGAGTGTTCGATCTTTGTATTAATAATTATAACAAACTAGTGGAGTAATTTCACAAAAAATAATTGAATATCAATTCAATAAAAATTTAATTAACATAAGTTGTGTTATTAAACACTCATAAACAAGGACGCAACTCGAAAAAACTTAAAAAAATATAGAAAATATGACTGAATGTTTCACCAATATCCATTAAACGAAAGCTTAGATGTATACCTAAAGCTAGAAGTTATAAAAGTACTAATAATAAATGCGAACAACCAATAATCAATAAAAGTGTGTTTTTTTAACTCTCCTGAAAAGTGTCGATTTTGAGTTATTACCTCCTTCACAGGAGGCAATGAATTATTTTTTGCTACATGATTTTCATAAATTGTTTTCAGGTTTGCATAACTGGATTTATTTTGCCAAAGAGGAGTCAGCAAATCGCGTCAATTATTTGGGTTACTTAAAGTACACACAACTAGGTGACGTGAGTATAAATTTTTATAATTGTTTTATTTTTAAATTTGCCAGCCACCTAGACCAATTAATTACCTGATCTCAAACTGGGAATTATCTGTGCTATGAGAACAAGATTAACAATTTTAAAATACAAACAGGAGCAACAAAGCAATTTAATAAATTACAATTTAAACAAATTGGTACAAGCGGGAATCGAACCTTGGACGTCCTCGACACCTAGAACGACCACATTTGCCTTGTGGCAAATTCGAGCCATCAAGGTCGCAGTCGTCAAATTATAGTAATTACATAAGTATTTTAATACAACAGCTTTTACATGAACTTACTAACCGATGTAAGTGCCTCTGGCCACAAAATAATAAAAATGTTGCATTCAATTAGTAAGTAGCCCGTATTAAAACTTAGGTTCTTCTTCAATTTGACTTAAGTACACGTACACTTTCATTCAAGTCAATTTTTTTTTCAGAAAGGGGCAGTATTGAAGCTACATTTCAATCAGGAAGGTGCTGATAAGCCCGTGGATACAATGTTTATTGGTACATCACCGGAATTAGAAATAGCCCTTTACACTCTCTGTTTTGTTACTCGCGCTGGTAATGACTGTAACCTCAAGCTAGAAACCAAAGATGTTGACATTGTAACTCACACTTTCAGATATCGTAGTAAGAATTATATTGGAAGTGCGTATCCGCAAATTTAAACATAATTTCGTAACTTAGACAACTATTACGTTTTTCTTGTGACTGCCACTTGGCATGCCAAGTATATTAAAACTATTATCGTGATAAAAACATGTTTAGTAAATCGATGTACAACCAAAAAAAGAAGTAACTATTGTAAAAACTTCTTCACTTCTTCAAACATTCTTCTATAGAACTATAATAAAATTATATTGTTATTATATAGTTTTATTATTTCATAAAAATGAAAAACAAATCAAACATGGTCATATTGTTTCCTTTATTTTAAAGACGATTCTGTTATTAAGAAAGAATGTGTTGGTGGCCGTGGGATATTCGAGTCATCTGTGCTAAACTGGCTCTCCCTACCTACAATCCGGATGTAACGTAAAGTGCTTTAAATCATACTCAAGTCCTGACTTCAGCATAGTACAGTTCTGGAATATATTTTGTAAAAGTCGATTTTTTAAGGTAGTGCGACCTATAATTTTATGGACCTTTTATGAGTTCTGTAGCCTGAAGTTTATACGCTACAGAATATAAGAAAATTTTGTTACCACACGGACGATCTGACAGACATATGTGACCATCACAGTAAACGTCTTGTGAAACGAAACTTTTATACCGACTAATGTAATTTGAAACAGTTTCCTTTAAATTTATAAAGCTTACCGTGCCAGACTATATACCAACTAAGCCATGGAACGAACCAGCAGACCTCACGAATATTTTTATGTGCTTGCGTTGTGTCTTTGTATTTTTGGTTGTTTCAACGACTTTTTAGTCGTAGCACCATCTATGAGAAATCTATGAAAGATTTATCACCCAGTTAGTACCTTTCCAGCTAACAGTCCTGGCGAGAGATGTTTGGTGGGTTAGTTAGCCTCACTCACACGCGTGCCAACCATAGGTCTCATAGGACTAGAGATGGGAAAAACTGCTCATTTTTTAAACGTTTAAACATTATGCTTTTTTAAACGCTTTTTCACTTAAACGCTTTTTAGTTTGAAGTTAACAAAATCGTTTAGAAAACCTTTACGCGCATAGACTTTCATGTTAAAAAAGCTTGCAACGTTGTGTTGATAGCGAAACGCAAGAGTAGACCACTGAAAATTTTAAGATAAGTAAGTTTTTTTGTAAAAAACGAGTTTATGACATAACTTTATTATATTATATAACATTTTGTTCATTGGCTTTTAAAAGCATAAGTTGTTTAACTTTTGTAGTTGATAACCGTTGAAATGGAAAATACTGCTTATTTTTCTAACGTTAAAACATACGTTTAAAAAGCGTGCTTGTAAAAGCGCTTTTCACTTAAACGTTTAGTTTGACGCTTAAAAACTCGCTTAGAAAAACGTTCAAGCGCATAGACTTTACATTTAAAAAAGCTTGCAACGTTATGTTGAATTAATTTGTTTAGGAAACATAGATGGCGTTACTTGAAACTTAGGCACGTTGTAAAAAATGAAATTGTTGAGTACCTATAGAACTGACCAGAGACCAATGCTTATGCTTAAAATGAAGTGTGCTTATGCGCTTATTTTCAAAAGCAAACTTTTTTTAAGTGCTTGTCGTTTAAACGCCCACTTCTACTTAGGACCTATGTGCGCTCAGTCCGCCGTTTTCGCTTTGTACGGTATTGTCGTGTTAATTCGTAGAAAAATATATTATTGTGCTGTTTTGGCATACAAAAATGATAACCGCACCAAAATATTACCCGTGATGGTATTTCATACCTATCATCGGTAAGTCTTATTTTAATAAATTTTCAATTTTCTGTTTATTGAAATATTTTTTTTGTTACAAGAAACGAAAATAAAGCTTATACCCTTTCAATATTATGGTCGCTTCTTTTTTGGAGAACATAATTAATAACTCCCAATAAGTCGTGGTCAAGCTATTAATCGCTTGATGACAGGACATTCATTGAAATTTCAATTTAATATCAAAACACCGTAACTTGCAATAATAGGTATTAATGGTATTGCACTTTCAACGATATGCCAACAAGGTAAAGTTTAAATTATATTAAAATCCAGAATTTGTTCTTTCTTTTTAAATTTGAAACTACGACCAATCATGATTGATATTTCGCAGTGTTTCAAATTATGAATGTGTGAGTTTTGGTCTGTTCTGATAGTAATCGAAGCTTGTGGCACTTCCATTGTTTTTTCTTCCGTGGACATGCGTCATTTAGGTTAGAAGTAGAATACACTCAGTAGGGTTGTTTTTACGCTTGTAATACACAATGTCGACACTTAAGTGATTATCGACACTTGACTACTAAACCCAATGGCGATTAAAGTAAGTTTTTTGTTAGTATTTATAAATATTTATAACTGCCTCCGTGACCGAACAGTTACCATGCCGGACTGCCACGTAGAGGACCCAGGTTTCATTGACGGGCCGGGAGAAATATTTGTATGGCCTACATTTATTTTTCTTGTGAGTATGGGTATAATTTGTGGTTGTCTATGAGTGTGTCCATGGTACCCGCGACACGAGGTCTCCCTAGTGCGGGGCTATGTTGAGTGTGTGCGTTTTTATTATTACTATTTTATAAAATTTGCTTCACATGGTTTTGGACTATACATGTCTTTTTAAGATAACAACGCATTTTCCTCATTGAAAATTTGCTTGCTAATAGTCGTCACAATGTAAGAGGCCCAATAGGACAGCTAAGGAAGACGATAGTATGTAACTTTGAATGCAATCAACGAAACAGTGAACAAACAATTTTTTAACGTAATTGGATTTTACGAAAATACATTAATTGTAATGAAGTATTATAATATGACAGAACATGTTTCAGGTATTATTTCCCACTAATTCCAAAACAAAATGCAAGTTTGAGTAAATCCCAAACGTGTTACGTTCTCTATCTATTTCTTTTTAAATAATATTATTGTAACCAATTAATCGCCGAATTTCATCGAGTCAATTATTTCATTTTAAAAATTATAGACTTGATTAAATATCAATACATAAATTGAACAAAGCCCAGTAATCAGAGCCTCAAACACAGATTAATATTTTCTTTTCTTTTTCGCAAATTTTATTGCTATATTAAGATATGCTAGTTGAGATACTAGCTCAAATGATGATTTTGCCTCATCTTCCAATGAAAATGAATAAAATTTTAAATTATGATTTTTTGTTTTGCTTAACAATGTTGCTATTTAACTACTGGTAGTCCTTGCAAACTCTGTTAATATAAAACACTACAGCAACAAATACAGATTACCATTGTAAACATTTAAAATACGTGCTTATTATTTATATGTAACTATATTGCATAAATATTAATTATCCTATCTAGAACTGAAAACCAATATCCCGAAATATAATGTAAACAACCAGACTCATAAAATTTCGAATTGATTTCTAGTGATAAACGATTAATGTTAATACCGATATGTTTAATAATTATATTCCTATTTACGTTGCGATTACAAGTGTCAAAAGGTGCCTCTTATTTTGTGACGACTATAAAAACTGCTCTTCTTAATCATTCAATTATCTCTCATTGCGTACGTACATACACATTACAATACACAACATACGGCACTTCTTATTTGATTTTATTGGTTGTATTACGGTCAGGAACCAACCATCAATTGTAAATGCCAGAAAAAAGCAGTGGATTGATCGAATTATCACTAATATACTAAAAGTAACATGACACAAACAAGTGCCTTACAATAACGAACCTCTCATAGTCGAAACCCTTCACCTCACTACACTTGTCAAGAAGTGAGTGAAGTGGGTTGATTGGTGAATGAATGAGTATTTATAATTTGTAAAGTTTTTGAAGAATATGGAATTGAAGAGCGAAAATCGAACGGTTGTGTGTGTGCTCTGCGGAGGTTGATTGAAAATTAATAATTATGCAACGATTTTAATTTATTTAACAATTAATACTGTGTTAAAAAGTGTTTCACTTCATGAATTAACGTTAGTTTTTTTTGTGATTTAACACTAATTTTAGTGTCTGAATATGATTTAGTTTTTTTCGTGTTTATTTCCAGTGTGATAAAAGAGAATAAGTGAAAATGAGTTTGTGCGGAACGTTAATAGGAGGTATTAAAAGATTTAACTATAGTCTAGTGTATGTCAAAGTGAAGAAATGTGATGTAACGTTTAGTCAAAGATATTCGACGCGGGAACTCCTGAAGGAAGCATATTGCCGAATGAAATTGAAATGTCGTTGTGAGTTTTTACGTTTTCACTGCTGATTTTCACTGATGATTTATGAATTTTATAACTTTCGGTCAATATCGTATGAAAATATTTTTTCTTTCATTATAATCAATAAAAACCACAACTAAACGCTCACAGCCTACACTTTCAAGAGAAGTTATCACAATGCACGTAATTTATTGAATCAAAATCTGGTTTTAATTACTTAAAACTTGTATGTACTGGTTTTTGCACCTAGTACAAACTGTTTATAATATTTCTCTAAAATAGTGTTTTATTTTTTTAGCAAAAAAATTGCCAAATGATGTAAATCCACGCGGCGTTTTCGCCTGTAATGAGTTGGATCTATCAGAAGTGAAAGTATATGGTTTTGATTATGATTACACATTGGCCCATTATAAACCCTCCTTGGAACATCTGCTGTATAATCTGGGCAGAGATACCTTGCTGGAAAAATATAAGGTATGCCTTAAAACTAATAAGAAAGTATTTAAATATATAAGTAATAGTATGTACCATTGAGTAAGACTTGAATCTGGTCTAAATACTTTTAGTTCTATAATATAAACATGAAACTTATTTCTGAATATGGGTAACATAAAACACAGTCTCATAAGGACTAGACATCTAGCCATATCCAGTCTCAGTGCATACTATTTATACACCTGTTGTAATATAAAGCTAGCAAGGTCATAGTAAATTTTTAAGATGTGTTGTGTATCATATATATATATATATATAAAAGTCAATTTTACTTTTAGTACCCAGCAGACATTCTAAACTTAGAATACAAACCAAACTTTGCAGTTAGAGGTTTACATTATGACATTGAAAAAGGATTACTTCTCAAACTGGATTCATTTCTACAAATTCAATTCGGTGCTGTGTACAGAGGCCTCACTCCGGTATCTATGGAGGAAGTACTCAAAATTTACAAAAACAGGATTATACCTATTGCATATGTAGAAGGTGACACAAGAGCACATAAGGTGAGTTGTAAACAAACAGCAAAATTTGAAGGAAAGTAGGTAACACATTAGGAATTAATAAATTTATGCAAAAAGTTTGTATTTTCAATAAATAATGCATGATAATGTTGCCAGTTATCTCTATAATAAACTTTTTTTTTTATAATAACATTTCATTATATTATCGCAATGCTTAAATACATTAATGCATGCGATTTTCTGATACATATTTCACAGACACCGAGGTCTTAGCTTTCACGATTTTACCTTTTACAACAAAAATAAATAATTTGTAGCTTAGTTCTTTTGCTCCAAGTACTAATAATATCGTATTATTCGCATTCGTCTGATACCTAATTTTAGAGAATGGAGTATTTGAATGAAAGTTAATAGTGTTGGGCAACCTTTGTCTTAAATGATCACAAAGAAAATATATTCATCCTCATCTATCCTCGAAATTATGGTCAGTGCTAATTAAAATAAAGTATCTTCTGTATGAACTTTACTGAAGTACCCAGTTATGATTTGGATCATAGTAATTGATAATATTAGCTAGAACAATGGCTCATATTTATACCTACAAACCATATCAAGCACTATAGCTGTTATAGCCTGGTTGAAATTAGATTCTTATCACAGAAATACTACTCACTTAGTAACAATGTCGTTTTTTAATATTCATAATTTTATACACAAGTTGACTCTGATCATCCTCTTTGTTATGAATACACACAATTTACAATGTTGGTGGAAAAAAGTTATTTACAAGGTTTTATTGAGAGTGATATAAATTATTTTCTTATATATTGTAAGATAATGTGTCCACTAGTGTTGTAAGGATTGTTGTGTAATATACTAACATGGGTTATTGGTAAACTAACAACATTACACTATATTTTACTAACATCATAAACAATTAACTTTTGTTCTATGACTGTTCACGAAACATAATAAATTTACCAAAAACGAACTTTTAATTAAATATGTTATTGAATGTCAGGATGTTTCACCACCATGACATTCAATTATTTTTTTGAAATTACTCCACTAGTTTGTTATAAATTAATAATACAAAGATTGAACACTTACAAAAACTTTTAAGTTTTTTTGTATATCTTTTTAGGTCTGTATCTGGTACCTACTAAAGTAGTAAGTTCAAAAGTGCAAATGTTCCCGACGACCCCCACCCGCGATTCTACGATTGCACAGAGTTACCACTGTTTAGATCAATCTATTTAAATATTTATGTATATGTATGAAAGCAAAATGTTAGGAATAGTCCTGCGCGTATGTTAGTATTTTTTTTACTAACAATCCTGTATAAACTTTCTTTTATGACCATAAAAATCGTGAAAGTTAAGACCTCGGTGTCTGTGAAATACGTATCAGAAAATCGCGTGCCTTAATGTGTTTAAGCATTGCGATAATATAATTAAATGTTATCTGGGAATACCCATTAAAATGGTATTCTACTTATTTTTACCTATTAATCTGCCAGTGTATATTATTATTTTAGGACATTTCTGTTTCAATTAATATATCTTACAAAAAAATGTTTTTAAATTTCTCTACCTATGCATATTATTGCACGTGACCATGCAATATAATACAAATATACTGTATCAATAAGAGAAAAGATACAATATTTTTTACCATTAAAAAAAATATATATATACTTTACTTTTTCTTTATCTTCTTTTAGATTGCTTTTTTAAGACCCTTAATAATAGTGAAACATTCATCATAGAGCGGACTTGATTTCTAGTAAGATTTTCATAAGTGTAAACGAGAATAAGCTGTCTCCCACCCACGTCCTAGAGGAAAATTTGCAAGAACCATCAATATCGAGAGCGTCATTTTAAATTGATCCAAATTGTCAGTAATAATAGCTTCTGATTTTAGATAAACTTCTTTGTGTTGTCCTCTGACAAGCATGTTGTGACGACGGCTTATCAAGGCGTTGAATTAATTTTAAAATCAGCTCAACAGATTCTAGTACTAACAAATGGATGTTTCTTTACACCGTAGCGCAGACTTGTTTGACCAAAATTGTCGCACTTGGCTCAAACTATACACAAACACTGTGATATTTACATCGATACGAAGCACATGTTTAGCAAAACTCTATCGCGTGCAGTTATACAACAACATACGTAGTTTATGCAGCAATCATTGGCACTTGTAAGCAATCATTCATTTGTGTTCGTTCCAAGTCTCCCCTCTGTTTACAAGCACCATGTGTATGATTGATTTATGACTGCAAAAACGTCCTGGCAATCAGAATTGAGGTGTTTTTGGCGAACATTAGGTGAATAGCTATGACGCTATTATAAAGACGAGCTTACCACGTCGCATATGAAACCAAATACTGTAGTACCTAACTCAAAATCGTGAAATTGAGAAAACAAATTTGAAAATTAAAAAATACTGACTGGATCTTATTGCGAATAATGTGATTATTTTTATTTATACATAATACTTCTAAATCCATTTATAAACGAAAATATATATATATATACACACATATATACATACATACGTATCTATTAAATACGTTTAGCACCTCTATAGATTTCATTCAGCAGTTTTTTTCAAATTGTGTCTTCTCAATTCCACAATTTTGAGTTACGACAGTATTTGGTTTCGTGTGTCATTCGGAAGTATTAATATTCCATTCATTAGACCAATCCAGTCAGGTCCTTAATGCAAGTGACATAATCAGCTGAAAATTTAAAAGACCGGAGAACGCATTTGGTGATTTTTATCTTTATTGAATATTTTCGATTTCTATCACTCCCTATTTTTATTGTAGTCGTTAAAATACATAATGGACCATTAAAAGCGTAAGTTTTAAAATGAATTTACTTCATAATATATGCCATCACCAAAATAATATAATCGTAGCAACATGTAGATAGACAGGTACTATTACGCAATAAAATCCTTGCTGAACACTGTACACACTCTCTACTATGAATTTCCGGTATTCGTAGATACTAGCGATCGCGTGAAGTATTTGACAATCGTGTATCGCAAATTATACCGAGTCCCTAGTGCTCACAAGAACAAGTAAAAATTCATACAAAGATTGTGTTGGTCAAAAAGGTCTGTATGCGCCCGTACACGAAAAGCAACGGGCGCGCCAACACACATTGCTGCGCTGCTACGTTTGTATTGGGGCTACCATACTTGTCTTATTATACTATGGAATAAGCGCTAGAGTAATAAATGTATGCAGCCTATAAATATAGAAAAAAATTATTTCACAGCCAAATAGAGCGAAAATGGTGCACTTAGCGGATCTGTTTTCTGTACCTGAAATGGGCTTACTATGCAACGTGGCGGAGTACTTCATCAGAAATCACATTGACTATCACCCTGAAATTTTATTTTTGGACGTTAAGGTATGTAAATTTCCTACTAAATTGCACAATCAAAATTATTTCATTTCACATGCAATACAATAAAAACTGATATACTTAGTAATAAAGAAAACTTGTCAATGGGAGAATGATAATTTTATAAATGCATGATAATAAAAATGATAATGCCCGATGTAAATTTCAGTTACCGATGATGCACGATATAGTAAAATTTATCTTATAATAATAGTACAAATTAATTATGAATAAAATTGGACTAGAATCAAAGAATAATAGGACCAGGAGGACAACTCTGATCGGTGCAGCAATGCCTACACTTTGCTGAGAGCGTGTTGTTACATTATTATGTTAGTTGTGCCTACAAGTTGTAAACATAATTTTAAGGCTTTGTTAAATGCAGTATTTACGTATTATTATTTTTATACCAGTATCGCGGATTGGTATCACGATTATGGGAGTATGATTGAAATATAAATGAAATGTTGAACAATTCTGAATTTGAGTTACTCTTGTTTAAACCACCATAAACAAAAGACGTCTACTGTTTGATGTCATTTTTTAATCACTGAGCGAATGCTTCATTTCTGTAATGAATGGCGCGAGGAACGACACGCGCTATGCAACGCGATTTCATCGCGAGATGTGCGTCCGTACACAGCACGCGGGGGCGTGCACACATACAAGTCGCACTGCTACGTTTGTATCAAGTTACCCTACTTGTCTTATTATACTATTCTAGAGTGATAACTAGTGTTGAGGAACAATCACGTAAAACACTTATTTTATTCATGTTGTTTTTCAGAATTCAGTGCAAAGTTGTCACCCAGTAATGCATAAGATAGTTGCTCAAAACGTAGAGGAGTATATAAGACCGAATCCCTATCTAAGGAAATATTTCCAAATATTACAAGATACTGATAAGAAGTTATTCCTTGTTACGAACAGTCCATATCACTTTGTGTAAGTTTTTTAAAATACATTTTTACACATATAATTCGGTGTTGTAAAAGTTTGGAATGCATATTTTCAAAAACTCCGAGTTTGTAACTAACAAATTCGTAATACTGTCCATAGTAAAATTCACTCTCATATAAACAAAATGTAAAAATTTAGTCAAGTTTTTGCGACTCTTTCTCCGAAAAAAACCTGAAATCTCAATTATCCAATATCTGTAAATCTTCATTTATAAAGAATATTTAGTTACTACTAACTATGCAACACCAATAAATTAAGTATAATTTTATTTTATTTTATAAACATACAGCAGTGTAAAACCTGGCAATTCACATAGAACAAAGATGGTGGTGTAATTAGGTAAACGGTGGTGTTATTAATAGACGAGGGTTACGGAAGCTGTTGCCCAATCCATACCACTATAGAAACGTGTAGGTAGGTGTTCTATAATCGTAACCAACTAAAATAACTATATCGTCTGCCTGCGTAGGACCCCAAAAATATCTCAAATGAAACAGAATTTCAATAATTATCCTAGATATGATAAAGCCAATGTGATATTACGTCAAAAGTGCTTTTATCACAATGAAAGTCATAAAAATATTACGAACTACGTGTAACATATTTGGTGAAATTGCAGTCACATGAGACTTGTCAACTTATATCTCAGGGAGACAGGTGCAGTGCTCCACAGATATTTGCGATTTATAGCTCTTGCCACGGTAACTGTTATGGACAAGCGTGTAGCTTACCACCAGGCTTGTTCGTCCCGTCACTACAGATTTCTTAATAGTTATTTAACAGTATTTTTATTTAGTTAATATTATATGTAACAGATACATCACTCTCATACAAAATCGAAAATACCTGCGCTTCAATAGCCTAATAGCCTACTAAATTTGTCTAACAACATCAGGCGCTCACTACGAGGAAAAAGGAGCCTAAGCACGCCTTCAGAGAGGTGTGAGTAACGTTGTCCGCCGGGTGCAGTCGTACCGAACCGAATGCTTGGGTTGTACAAGGATTGTAATGTAAATAAAAGACTTGTCTGTACGCTTGCACTGCACACTGCACACTGCAGGGATACACTCAGCGGTAGGCATTTATCGCATAACCTCAGCAAGTGATGGAGCCCTGCCGTCACTTGATATTACAAAAAGAAATTTTGTCTATATATGAAATTGTGTATCTCTTCTATTTGAGTATAAAAAGTTATTGAATGATTAAGTTCGTAGAATCTTTGTACCTCGTTCTTGAAAAGCTGTCATTTTGCATTTTGCAGCAACCTATAACCTATTACAGGATATTGGTCTTTGGTGCGATATGTTGATTATTATTTGACAGGTATTTAAATTTTGATATCATCTTAACAGAGCGTTTAAACAATTTTACAAACAATGCTAATCCGCGGCATTCTGTCTAAAGTGCGTACATTGGCTAATGTTAAAGTTAATAAGCGAATAGAAGATTTAACCAGTCTGTTTCGTAGAATTCGCAGAAATTACACAACTATAATAAAATGTCTTGAGTAAATGAACAGAAAGGAGGTACGTTAAATAAGCAACAAGGATTTTGTTATCTAACGACATTTAATTGTTTGTTGAAATACACCTCATCTCTTTAGGTGAGTCGATGAGTGAGGTCGATGCAACTTACAAAATAGTTTCATTTTGCAGAAATGCTGGTATGGGAATGCTAGTAGGTCAAGATTGGCGGGACTTCTTCGACGTTGTTATAGTAAATGCAAACAAACCAAAATTCTTCACCGAAGTACCGCGGCCCATCAGGGTTTTCGACAAGAACGCCAACACGCACATTTGGGAAAAAGTCACCAAACTAGAGAAAGGAGTTATTTATTATGAAGTAAGTACCTTTTTCCTGTGACATACATTATATACCATCACGGTTCTTTCCTAACGGACTGGGCTAGATACTTTGTTTTGCTTCTGCTTCTGATATAGTTTTTTCAGTTTTTCCGCTTGTATTACTCTTTTTATATGAAACTTATCTGTAAGTCTCCGTGTTCTTTTAAATGTACATAATATAATAAGTGATTCAGACTCAGACAATATTATTCCTATGATCACGTAAACTCCCAGTGCACATTACAATTAAAATATCGTATTCAAATTTAGCGCTGTATATATAGGGTTTTTCAACAACAACTTTGTTTAGTAAATCAAAATAAAACATCAGATGAAATAAAAAATAAAAATTAGATGACAATGATTCAAATATTTATTTATATATAATTTAATATTATAAGGTTTGGCAATTATGAATGAAAAATTATATCTGATAAATGTTCACCACGACCATAGTTACAGAATCTTTCATCAAAGTTTTTAATCACTTTGACAAAATGGTGGGTCTATTTCGTTCATCACTTCACGAATTTTGAGTTTTAAGGCTGCAATCGATTCGATTGGCCCCGCATAGACTCTGTATTTAACATAACCCAATAAAAAAAAATCCAGCGGTGTTAAATCACATAATCGAACTGGCCACTTAACAGCTGAATTTCGTGAAATTATGTGATCGAAAAATTTGGTTTGCAATAAATTCATTGTTTCGGTGGCTGTGTGACTTGTGCCGTTGGCATTGGGCCGTTTTTTTTCGAAAATTCGGCTGGAAATGCGGTTACGGTCAATGTATTACGCTATCGAGAGATGTTAACAACTTAATTTTGGCCTATTATTGATGACATGGACATCACTAACATGTAGTTTCAACTAGTATCCTAGAAAAACAAGTTTTTCATACAAAACTGCAAGCAAGTGTATACTTGCTTGGGCCTTTTAATTATATTTAGTACATTTTAATGCACAATCAACAAACAGCACATCAAACCATAGATTTTTGTTCGAATATCGCCTTCAGCGCAACGAAACGGGATCTATCCATTTGTAGCTTGATGTTTGTAGCTGCCGTCTGAGCTGTCTGTTTTAAAATCATTTAGATCATGGCATAATTGCTCACATACCCTTACTCTTATTGTATTATCTGCTGTATAGATGGCAATGAAATCACTGGCTCGACAGTGCACACATAACAACTGCCATTACGTCCACTTTCGCCTACGGCTCTCGTGATACTACTGTAGTCGCATTGCACATGAACACCCGAGACAGTATTGTCACATACACTACATCTTTCCCTTATTAATAAATAATAAATCGTTACAATTTAAGAATTAAACCTTTTCATCAACTTCACATGAATTTAGTACTTCGTATTACATTTCACCAATGTGTCGTTTTTCTATACTATTACAACTTATTCACTCATATTCACCATTTGGTTCATTTCCAGTTTCTTTTCCTTCATCTCGGTCTCTTCCACTCGGTCTCTTCCTTGAACTGCTGTCCACTGTCCCTCTATCTTTATCAGGTGGACAGCGTTTCTTTTTAATACTTGTCCTGTTTGATCATTTGTTACTGTGACGGTGCTACCGTTAGGACTTTCAACTGTATGTGGTGTCGGATTAAAATTTGAGTCAAGTTTGTTTCCTTTTACCATATTTTTAATATACACTTTTTCTCCTTCCTGTATATTTAGTTCAATTGCACCCCTTCGTTTATCCCCGTACACCTTACCCTTTTCTTTTTGAATTCTATCTCGGTCCCACACGTCACCATCACCAATTCCTGAATTATCAAGTTTGTCTAAGGACAGAATTTTGTCTCTATTCAGACGTCTAAAAAATAATTCTGACGGTGATTTGCCAGTAATTGCGTGAGGTGTACTGTTGTACATAAGTAGGTACTCCCATAAACTTTCTTTCAAGTCTTTATTTTCCATGTAGCTGATTTTTAATCTTTTCATAATGTCACGATTCTCCCGTTCCACTTCTCCATTCTGTTGTGGCCAGTATGGGATTGTATTAAAAATGTTAATGTTAAATTTTTGCAAAATGATCGGAACTCGTTGCTCACAAATTGTTTTCCATAATCCACTGTAATTGTGACTGGGTATCCAAGTCTGCTGAAAATTTCCTTGAGCAATGTTATTATTTGCAAGCTAGTGGTAGATTTCGTGAACTTGACTTCTTTGTAGCGACTATAGTAGTCGACAACAACGAGCAAGTAATTCTGATTAGGCAAAAGACCAAGCAGATCCATTGCAACGTCTATCCAAGGGCCTGATGGAAATTCCCTCCTTTTCATAGGTGTTTTGCCACAACTTTTGCAGGATTTGACCATATTCTCCACGTCCTTGTCAATCCGTGGCCACCAGACTTTTGCTCGTGATCGACCCTTCATGGCCACAATGCCTGGATGGCCTTCGTGCGCAGCGTCTAGTATATCCTTTCGTAATTTCTGAGGTATAACGATTCGACTGCCTCTTAGCAAAATATTATTGTAAAACAGATCATTTTCGAAAATATTATAATTTTTTACAGACTCATCCCATTGTTGTTCATAAACACCCTTCCTAACCAATTCAAATTCTTTATCATATCTTGAAAAATCATCAATGTCTTTCATCGCGATGGCTCGCGATGAACAACGTCTACGCCCTTAGGGGGAGTACACATATTCAGACACATAGTCGGGACAAGGGATCAGCGATATTCATTTTTCCTGGTTTGTAAATAACTTTGAATATATATGATTGTAGCCTGAGCACCCATCTCTCAATCCTTCCACAGGGTTTTGACTTTGTTCCAAACAGTATTTCTAAAGGCTTGTGGTCAGTAATGAGGTCAATTTCTTTGCCGAAAAGGAATATGTTGAAGTGTTCCACGGATCAAATGAGGGCTAAAGCTTCTTTCTCAGTTTGGCTATATTTTTTTTCGCAATCTGTTAGAGTTCTATTTCCGTAAGCGATGATTCGTGGCCCGTTAGCATCATGTTGGATTAAAACAGCGCCGAGTCCCACGGGAGTTGTATCTGCAATGGCCTGTGTTTTGTCCTTTACGTCATAGTAGCCCAGTAATTGGATTTTGGTCAAAATCGTTTTTAAATCCTTAAACGCTGTGCTTTGTTTATTATTGGCAAAATGGTTTAATGTTAGCGTCCTTACTAAGTTTTTTCCTTAGCAGTTCTTTTAGTGGTTCTGTTGCTGTGGCCAAATTTGGTATCCACTTGTTAGCGTAGTTGACCAACCCCAGGAAACTTTGTAGCTCTTCTATCATTGTAGGAATTCGGATTCGCATAATACTCTCAATGTATTTATTCAGCGGTCTCACTCCCGCAGATGTCAGCTCATATCCTAAAAAGTTATTAACCTTAAATATAGGCATATTAACAGAAAGGCTTCTGTTTGTTGAGCAGCACATTGTGATCGTCGAGCGCTTCTAACACTTTTTGCAGTCTCGCATCATGTTGTTGCTCACTCTCACCAAATACTAGTATGTCATCGATAAAATTTATAACGTCTTCACATTTGATTAAAATCTTTTCCAACACATTTTGAAAGATTTCTGGAGCACAGCTGATTCCAAACATTAGCCGCTTGTACCGATATAGGGCATTTGCTGTAATAAAGGTTGTCACATGTCTACTTTCGGGGTGTAATTCAAATTGGTGCAAAGTGTCCTTAATGTCAATCTTGCTAAAATATTTAGCTTTCCCTATTTTTGGTAACAGTTGATCCATGCACGGTAGGGGATGGTTTTCTCGTCGTATAGCCGTGTTAGCAGCTCTCAGTGGAAGATCCCCATCATCCTTTATTATAGATACCACCGGAGATACCCATCTTGAAAGCCCGTGCACTTCTTCGATTATGTCGCGGCCCAAGAGTTCTCGTACTTTCTTATCCACCTTTTCCTCGACAGGAATTGGTATTCTACGATATGGCTGTGATATTGGTTTTATTGAAGCGTCAATAGGTATTTCTACTAATATGCCTTTAAATTTTGGAAATGGCTTTAAGTTAATTTTATCATCAATGCTGTTTATGTTCACGCCTATTTTTAAAACCCCAAGACTGACCGCTGTGTCTTTACCTAGCAAATTTCGAGATCCTCCTCGTACGACGTAAATAGTACCACGTTCTATGTACTCGTTTACTTCGACTGTGGTTTGAAATGGCCCTTGCACGTCAAGTGGTGCAATGCTTCCATACCCAAACAAGGTTTTTTCGGGCTCACTAATTTCATTTTCTACCCTTATGCCCTGATCTTTTAAGGTTTCCCAGGTACGTTGAGTAATCAGGTTAACCTTGCAGCCCGAATCAATGAGCATATTAGTTTTGACGCCCCCTATGGTACAGTCTACTATTGCGTCATCGTCTATGTTGAACATGTAATCTATTTCGAATTTCTTCTTCTTAGCATCTTTTCCGTTTTTTGAATTGTTTCCTCTCGTTCCTTGCTCTTCAAATGCCTTTTCAGTGGTCCTCCTATAGATTTACAATACTGGCGAAAATGTCCTTCCTTTCCGCAACGGAAACATGTTACTCGCCTTACTGGACATTCATTATCTTCCGATATGTGTTTATGATTTTCACACCTGCCATAACTTTTCTTATTATTCTTATAAAAAAATCTATCCCTTATTATAGAATCTCTGACTTGTTACTTTATTATTAATTGCGTTTATGTCTCCAGTTGGTAGTTTCTTTTCTCCATAACTTTCTAGCTTTTTATCAAAATGACATTTGTCTGCCTGCTTCGAAAGTCTTACTAAAATTTTTTCAAGTTTTTCTCCCTCTTCCTGTTTAATGAGTCGAAACGTGTCGCTTGTAAGCGCGATTTTGTTTGGGAAGGAAGAAATCATCTAATTTTTCAACTGCAACATTGTAAATATCGTTTTCATCAGTAGAATGAAAACGTTTGCACCCGGTAAGTTAAAATAAATTTCTTGTAGCTTTGTTCCTCCAAAGTGCAATAACGTCGCTCTTTTCTTTTGCGGAGTGTT